CATTTATTTTATATCTTACTTGAGTTGTTGGAATATTTAATAGACAGGGCTAATTATTGAGTAGTGTGGCACACACTTCAGGAATTTCATTCAGGTCAGCAATTTTCAAATTTTTTAAAATAATAAAAACTACATTTATATGTGACCCTGAATACTGATGTATATTTAAATACCGTATTTTCCACAGTATAAGACGACCCCCCTAATTTTACAGTTAAAACATAGGTTTAGGCCTATATTCGCTGTATAAGATTACCCCCCACCTCCGAGGCAACACCAGTTCTTTTTTTAATAGACCGCCTCTCTGACTCTGGCCAATCTGAGCAGGCTTTTTTTCATTTCAAAAGTCGTCTTATATGCCCGAAAATACGGTACTATTCAAATTACTAATCCATTTGATCATTTTTATATTTATATGATAGTATTCCATTGATTTAAATAGAAACATGCAATATGGTATTTTTTGAAATCCAGATTTTCTACACTTATATTTCTTTGAGAGATAATCCTATCTAATAGAAGATTAATATGCAAATTAACCATCACTCCCCAACAAAATGGTGGCACCTATAGCTGCCAGGGCAGATGCTTGTGGTGTCGCCCTGGCAACACGAACCCAACATCCCCACCCCAGCCTCGTGAAGGGAGGGGAGGACCCAGGAAAATGGGTTTTCCCAGTTCCTGATGCTGACGGAGCCCTATGGGTGCTGAGGTCCTCCGTCAGCAGCCCCCAGTCACAGACTGGAAGCCCCCTGCCTGCAGTGGGATGCAAGAGCATGACATGGTGGAAAGGAGGGTCTGGGGGGCACACTATAGGCATCAAATAACTGCCATGGTGTCCGCCATCCCTGCGCTAGCAAGTAGTATAGTCCAAGGGGGCGACTTCTGAGGAGCAGCTCCCACAGCAGCTCACGTGCACCATGCCAGGCAGGGAAGTGGGATGTGGGAGACCAAGCCCCCAAGTACCCAAGCTGCAGAGCTGCCTGGTGTCATGGGTTGGGTCCCTGAGGACGCCCCAGGACAAGCATCTTCCCAGAGGCTGTGCAGAGGGAGTGGAGGAGCCTCTGGCTAAAGGCCAGGGTGAGGGATTCTGCCATCATTGCAGAGCTGGCTGAGAGATACCTTCCCCCCTCCCCCTGCACGAATTTCTTGCACAAGGCCTCTAGTATTATCAATAAATAGGATTAGGCCATCTTGACAAATAATTAGGTAGATATAATATTATTTAGTAATTAATGTATCCTTATCTAATTATAAGCTCCCACTTGAATCATCCATTGCATAAATTTATTTAAAAATATTAGATATTTGTGACTATATATTGATCTTTATACCAACTGATTCAGATTAAATATCACTTTAAAAAGATAATTGGTGAGTGTCCAAATAAAACTTTCTCTATAAATACAATATTGTCCATTTATAACACTTTAGAATTTAGAGTTTTATCCATTCAGCCATTTTTGATTGGGGAGTTTAATCCATATATACTTAAATTACCAAAAGGGAAAAACTTATTACCATTTTGTTTAATGTATGTCTTCTGTAATTGAAACAATAAAATAAAATAAATAAAAAGTAAAAAAAAAAAAAAAAAAATAGAATCCAACTGTCTTCTAGCTACCAATCTAGGAGCATTTTTTCGTGTGTGTGTGTGTCTTCTTTCTGTAAATTTTAATTTTCAGGACCTGGGCTTTCCATGAAGAATAATACATTTTAAGAAATGAAAGAGGGGAGAAAATCAGTCAAGTCAGAAACAGGCCTTATGAGGGTTAGGAACTTATAAGGAACTATAAAAGGACTAATGGGGCTAGAATTTAGGAAAATTATGGTGGAAATGTGGGAAGGGATAGGTCATACAAGGCCCAATAAATTTGGTTGCTATTAAGTTCATCCTGGTTTGTCCAGGTCAATTTCTTTTTTCCCCCCTGAAGTTTGCAAATTTGTTCTGATAATTTTTAATGTATGAAGAGCCATAGTAATGAATGATTTTTAACATTATTTTACACTAGGATAAGACTTATGTTTTTTAGAATCCTATCAATGTTAAACAGCTAATTAGTATAGTTTATTATTCAATGTATTATTTTTTCTACTCAGAAATATCTTGTTTCTGATATTTTGACACTCTACTAAAACTCCAAGTTACTAATGGCCGGCCTTCTTGCCTCTAAATTCAATTATCACTTTTACAATGGAATGTGGGTAGCAGTGACACTGACCCATGCTTGACTAAATCATCAACAGACCTTCATTTCCATGTTCTACATCGCTTGGTTTCACATTTTTGGCCAATGTAGAGAGCAAAATAAGTTACAATTTCAGGACACAGATGGATGCCCATGAGATAAGAGAAAAGGAATGGTAAAGTGTGTGGTTAAGGAAGTTAAATGAAGTCAGCTTCTCACAAATATGCCAAATGCATGCTGTGGTAAAGGACTGAAACATCCATTGTTTTTAGTAGACATGACTCACATAGAAATCTTATGTGATCAAAGCAAGAGGTTATCTGATTTCTGTGGATTGAGGAATGGATGAATATTGAGCATACAAAGACTATAGAATAGAAGAACTCTTTCAAAAATAATTGTCTGTTTAATAAAGAAAAAATATGATAATAGCTCACTAATATATTGAAATAGAGAAGATAAAAGGAAAGGTCCAGAGACATAAAGTTTTCTAGTAAGTTCTATCTGATAAGTTTTATTTTCTCTGTGAAACAGACATCACTTCTGGACATGACATGAGCAAGGCAAAAGAATCAGGTCAGAGTTGGTTTGAAATAGTTATAGGATGTATATAGAATAATATAAATTTATTATAAATATCAGTTGGTTTGACATAATAGCAGAAGGTATATGGAACAATAAAAATGTATTAAAAATACCAGTTGATGCTATTGATCATGAATTTAAAGTATTTCACACACATTTATCCAGTATTGCCCTAAATTTGAGCAGTTTTTAGAACAGGTATAAAGATGACACATGTTGAAAAAACAATCCAGAGTTAGTATTTCCAGTCAGGTATTACAGAAGAAAATAAAAAGCAAGGAAGTTTAGGATACTAGTTTATATTTTATTTATTTATTAAAATTGAAAGAATATATTAATAATCTCCATGTGGTTAGCTGACCTTATATTATATCTTCATGAGCATTTTTTATACAACTTCATACAACAAGTATCCTCAAATTGATACTATTACCTTCCTGGGTTGAAATTAGTCTACTGAGGTAGGTACTCTGTTAAGAGAAAGATGGTTATTTTAATAGCACATTATAGGACTTCCACACTTACTTATACTCCTCCCTGCTGCACTCTCTTGACTTAAGCAGTAGGTTCACTCTTTGTCATCTTACAAAGGAGACAACACTCTCTGAAGGAATTAGGCATTGTACAGAAGAATTCTGATAATGGAGAAAAAATGAGGATATTTACAAGTACTAGTCACAATCTAGAGAGAGCAAGACAGAACAAAGGCCTTAGAGGAAATAAGCATATGGCTGAAAACAAAATGTCCTCATTCCTACAAAAATATACTCATTCAAGAAAAGAAAACATCTAAAATGTGTATAAATAAAATTGAGAGATTTACATATCCATAAGTGTTTTCTAGTTTTATTCTAATGGCATGTACTCAAAATAAATATATTTCCATAATTTATCTTATCTACAAATAGCACAGAAGAGAATTAGTTAAATATATATGTTATTCTTTTAAATGACATTTAGTGTTTTAAATCACTCTGAAACATGTTGTGAACATTATTGAGACTCTATTTTTCTTCTTAGTGATTTGTATATTTTAAATGCATTGTTCATATGTTGAAAATATTTTACAATTCATTTTTTAGAGTATTTCAAATGGTATCCACATGCTTTTATTTTCTTATTATATTTTTAATGGTAGTAATTTCAAAGGAAAAATTATTTTACCTATGTTGTACACTTGCTTATGTTTTATCTCAAATACCAGATTGTCAAATACTTTCATATTTTTGTATTTTATTGAGAAGAACCATAAAGAAAAATAACATATATACTATTAGCAAAAAAAAGAACATTGCACTAAAACTTGAGTTTGCTAGAAAGAATTTGCCTTCCTTTTGAGTTGATTGGATCCTGCAAAAATTTTTTTGAGTTTGCACTCCGCTTGCCTTCTAAATTAAGTAAAAAGTGGCTTCTCATTAAAACAAAGAAACAAACAAAAAATACATTATTTTTTAAAAACTTAGGATTAATTTTGTTAAAAATCTCTGGGGAAAACTTCAAATGAACCAAACAATCCAGGAAAAGAAGAGCAAATGAAACTCAAATTTAGTAGAAGGAAGGACATAGCAAAACTTAGAGCAGAATTAAATAAAATAGAAGACAACAAGGCAATAGAAAAATTAATGCAACTGACAGCTGGTTCTTTGAAACAATTAATAAAACTCATTAAGGAGAAAAAAGAGAAAAAGATTCAAACAAAAACAAAAGCAATTTTGCAAGTAATTGATAGCAGGCTTCCAGCATCAGATAGGAGCACAGAGGCCAAAGCTCCTTCCACCAAGATGCTGGGACAAGTAGCAAAGGGGAAGCGGGGAAGGCTTGGGGGAAGGGGGTTCAGAGGTCCAATATATTTCTTGGTGTAGGGAAGCAGGGAGGTTTGGGATTGTTCTGCAGCCAGGTTCAACCAAACCCCTGAAATAGGATCAAGTGTTAAGGCCCAGTATGCCAATCAGAGCCTTATATTCAGGCTATTAAAATGTTCAGGCCATGACTCCCAGGTCAAGGGCTGGGTTGAACTCCTCTGAGTTGGGAACCCAAGGCCAGAGTTGGAAGCCTCAACTGGGGACCCCAGGACCAAGGACGGGCCTCCCCAAAGCAAAACCAGAGACCTGGGACCACACCCTGAAGTTGGACTGGGGCTGCCAAGATCAAGCACCACCAGGGTGCAACAAAGCCAGGAGGTCCAAGGCTGCTGGATGTCCTGCCTCTACAGACTCATGCTCCTACTTAAGTCTGCACCCCAGGACAGGGGAAGGAACAGGGCCCCAGTGGCAGGGAGACCTGGCTGAATACAGAGTCACTGGAGGAGCAGGTGCTTCTGGTGTCCCCACCGGCTGGGGAGTAGGGTCCAAAGGTCAGGCAGAGGTCCAGGAACTCCTCAGAGATGGCCAGCAGGACCTTGTCCAGTGCCTCCGCCAGCTGCTTGGAAGTGGGCCTCTGAGAGGGCTCCACATGCCAGCACTCACGCATCAGCCCATACCTCTCTGGAGGGCAGTTTGGGGGCCGGTCCATCCGATGCCCCTCCCACAGCAGTGAGAATAGTTCCTCCACGAGGATACTAAGGTATGGGGAGCCCCGGAGGGTGAAGATCTCCCACAGCAGGATCCCAAATGACCACACATCACTCTGGTGTGTGTAGACTCGGTCAAACAAGGCCTCTGGTGCCATCCGCTTGACAGGCAGGCTGCCGTTGCTGGTTTTCTTGTAGCAGTCAGTGTGGTGGACACCACCGGCCAGTCCAAAGTCAGTCATCTTCATCCCATTGTCCTCTGTCACCGGCACGTTACCAGCAGCCACATCTCGGTGGATGCACTTTGGAGACTCCAGGTACTGCATGCCTCGGGCCACCTGGTAGGCGCAGGAGACCCGGGCAGGGAAGGAGAATGGCCTCTCACTGCTCCGAGGCCCATCAGGGCTGAGATCCAGGCCGGGGGTGTCGGGCCCAGGAACTCCTGCAGGTTTCCCTTGGCAACACTCTCCACATCACATACAGGGGGCCTTCTTGGGTGCAGACACTCATCAGGTTAACAATATTTTTGTGGCCAAAACCGGTTTGGCTCAGTGGATAGAGCATCAGCCTGTGGACTGAAAGGTCCCAGGTTCGATTCCGGTCAAGGGCATGTACCTTGGTTGAAGGCACATCTCCAGTGGGGGTGTGTGTATGAGGCAGCTGATCCATGTTTCTAACTCTCTATCCCTCTCTCTTCCTGTCTGTAAAAAAATCAATAAAAAAATATATAAAAACATCAATATTTTTGTGTTGACTGATCAGCTTCATCACTTCCATCTCAGAGGCCAGATCTGCCAAGTCCTTGTCAGAGGCGTTGTGAGGCCAGCAAGCAAGAGGGGGTGGGGAGTGGGGGCGCTGGAGGAAAGACTGATGTCCCACTCCAGGGATGAGCTTGACTTGGCTGAGGAGCCTAACTCCAGGGAGAACTGTGGGGACAGAGGGAAGTGGGACAACTTCTGCACCGCTGCGGGCTGCCCGGGGTGCTGGCCATGGAGCATGTGTCCACGCTGCAGGCCGGCCAGCAGCGGGAGCACCGCCCACACCAGGGAGCCCGGGGTGCACAGGGTGAAGTCTGTGTATCTGGCATCGGGCACCGCTGCTGTCCACGCGAGGTCCTCCTCTGGCAGCACAGGGAGCCAGGCCGACTGGTAGGAAAGGCCGATGGAGTTGCCTGCCAGACAGGTGTACTCACCTGCGTCCTAGGCCAACGTGTTACGAAGGTATAGGACCTCTGCCTCTGAGCCATGGATGTCTGTTCTCCAGCACGCCCAGCAGGGAGCTGCAGCGGATGCTGCCCCTCGAATTCTCCACAAGGCGGGTGCCTGTGCCACCATCTGAGGGCACCGCGGTTTCCATCACCAGGTTCCAGTGCTGATGGCGCAGCCGAACGCCTCCAATGCGATGCTCCCCATGAAAGTCCTGTCCATCTTTGAACCAGCGGATGCTGGGCTGGGGGGTTCCTGCAGCTGGGCAGCGGGACTGGACTGTGTTCCCAGCAGGCACTGCATGCAGTTTCTTTTCCATGCGCTTAGGGTGCTGGGTCTTCTGTGGCCCTGGTCCTAGCTCTTGCCAGGCTGATCCCCTAGCCCAGCAGGGACAAGAGGACTCAGCCAGGGCGCTCCTCCTGGGACCGGAAAGCTGTGAATGCACTCAGAAAAGCCTCGTGGAGCCTGGCAGCCCACTGCCCCGCCCACCTCTGGCCAGGCTCCTCCTGGACCTGCTGTCCTGACAGCCGCGAGGCTGGCAGCGGCTCTTTTCAATTTTTAGTGCTTCTTCAATGACTAAAATTGTACACGCCACATTTTGTAAAAGACTATAGGTGTGCCTCTAGGATATTTTTTCCTGAAGCGAGGTGACTGAGTTAAGAAGAGATGCATTTGTAATTTTGATAGATATTTTCAAATTACTCTCCCTACCAGTTGCTTTACTTACACTCCCACTAACAATATATGAGAGTGCTTCTATTCCAGCCTACAGAGGGAGGTGACAAATTTTGGATGATTCATTAAAGTAGGAAGTCAATATGTTTATTATATTACATTTTCCATTCCTAGAACATGGAATTCATACCTATCAGTTCAAGTCTTTTATTTCTTCTTCTTCTTCTTCTTTTTAAATATCTGTTTTTATTTATTTCAAAGAGGAAGGGAGAGGGAGAGGAAGATAGAAACATCCATGAGGAGAGAATCATGGATTGCCTGCCTCCTGGTCGTGTGCCCTGACTGGGAATTGAACCCTGACCTCTTGGTTCATAGGTCAATACTCAACCACTGAGCCGTGCTGGCCGGGCTGTTCAAGTCTTTTTGTTTATATCCCTCAGAAGTGTTTTAGAACTTTTCCCATGTAATTATACATATTTTTTCCTAAATGTTTTACCTCCGTGGTTGCTATTCAAAATGGACTCTTCTCTCTCATTATATCTTCTAACTAGTGGACCGGTGGACCTATGCATGAAATTCTTGCATGGGGGAGGGGGGGTGGAGGAGAGGCAGTGTTCCTTAACCTGGCTTGCACCTTCTCCTATTTGGGACCCCTCAGGAGATGTCCACTGCCAGCTTAGGACATCCCTCTCCCAATCTGGGACCGCTGGCTCCTAACTGATCACCTGCCTGCCTGATCACCCCTAACCACTCTGCCTGCTAGCCTGCTTGCCCCCAACTTCCCCCCCCCCCCCAGCCTTCTCACCCCAACTGCTCCCCCTTGCTGGCCTGCTTGCCCCCAACTTCACCCCCCTGCCAGCCTGCTCTCACTCAACTGCACCCCCCACCAGCCTGCTCACCCCCAACTGCCACCCTGCTGGCCTGATTACCCCCATCTGCCCCCCACCACCAGCCTGCTGCCCCCAACTGTGTCCCCTGCCAGCCTGATCTCCCCCAACTGTCCTCTCGGGCTGGCCTGATTGCCCCTAACCACTTCTGCCTCAGATCACTACCATGCTTTGTCCTGAAGGACATCCAGAAGATCTCTAGATCTAGTTTGCACATTACCCTTTTATTAGTATAGATTACTTGCTACTTGTTGTAATGAAGACTATTTTTTTCACATTAATAATATATTCAGCTGCATTGTTATTTTATTGTAGGTGGAAAATTTCAATTGGATCGTATTAAATTTTCAATATACAACCATAGCAATTGCCAGTAGTGACACTTTCACCTTCTTTCAAAATTTTATGTCTCAGTTATTTTTCTTATCTAATCATGGGTCAAATGTTATTAGAAGGTTAAAAGGTCCTAGAAGTAGTGTGCATGTGCATCTTTACATTTTTCCTGACTTTAGAGGGAATGCCACCATTGTATCCTCCTCCTGTGAGATATAGGGTTTTGTAGTGAGGCACATTGGGATATAAATAAATAAATGTATGTGTTTAATGCTGACAAAGTATCATTCAACAGATTTTTTAGCAGGCACTTTCACCATAGGCTTTGAATTTTGTCAAGCCCCTTTTTAGTATCTTTGAAGATGATTATGAGATATTTCCCTTAATATGAATAATATTTATAATTTTTAATATTAAAATAAGTGTGAAACATATGGCACTATGCAGTACTGGATGGTTGTCCCACTGTTCAGCCGTTCAATTGATTTGAATATTGTGCTTTTATTATATAGGATTCTTATGAAACAGTGCTGTAAAGAAATACATCACACTTTCTTTTTCTAAAATTGATGTTTTTAAGATATTAGTAACTTAGCAGTTTTAATCTCCTCCTGCCAAAGCTGTCACAGTCCATGAAATATAGTGTTATAAAATTAACATTCCCTCCAAATGTAAACTATTTTGTTGCAAAAGAACTATTTGACATAGATAATTGTTTCTTGGATTTAAAACTTAATTTCAGATCTGCTATGTTACTCAGATATATGTCAACATATCAAGTATTTCTTCAGAGCTTCAGGAAGCTTTCTTATTATAGATGGCTCCTTAGGGGGTGGTTTTATAAAGCATTAAATAGTCTTCAAGAATATGCACTGTCACCTCACTACAAACATTGAGGAGAAGAAAACTTGGCTAAGAAAAATAACTAAAACATTTTATAAAGTAAGAAACTCAGAGGAAAATATATAATCCAAACATGTAACAGATAGAATGTTTGGTTATGATTAGACTTCCTAACTCTGAAATCTGTTAAAAGGCAATGAAACTTACTAAAGTCTAACATAATAATGGTTCATATTTTTAAATTTCCAGGTATATTTATGTTTTGGGAAATAATTTAGATACTAATATTCTTATCAAAATAATGTGTGGTGTGGATAAAACTGAATATGATTTTTATTATGATTTAATTTTATATTTTGATGTTTCAGTGAAAATATGGAGTTTGTAATAAAAATAAAGATTAAAAAGGAATTAAAAATAGCTTCATAGTAATAAAAAGTTATATTACTATTGGGCTAAATTATATACTCTGTCAGGGAAATTAGACTTAAAATAAACACAGTATAACTTTTTTTATATAACTTGCATTTTTTTATATAACTTGAGCTAGAATGAGATAAAAATAACATGGAAATCATGTTTGTATTTTTAAAGTTTTTAGGTATTAATTTTAGATAGAAAAGAAGAGAAGGCAGAGAGAGGCAGAAAGAGAGAAAAAAACATTGATTTGTTGTTCCACTTATTTATGCATTCATTGGTTGATTCTTGTATGCATCCTGACTGGGGGATTGAACCCTTAGCCTTGGCATGTCAGGATCACACTCTAACCAACTGACCTACCCAGCCAGAGCCTTGTGAATTTTAAGGTAAATTTGAAAATAGTTAATGAGTATTCCTTACACATACACACATACATGCATGCACACAGCACACATGTGCACATGCACACACACAGAGCTAGCTTGAAAATATCAGTGTACAGGATAAAATTACATTTACACACAAAAAAATATTCTAATTGAAAAACTAGCATTCCCAACCATATTATTACAATTTTTCAATAGCATTTTGATTGTAGGGACAAATCTTGACATAATGCAGAGCTCTGACACCTCTGAGACTGAAAGATCTTCCCAGAAATATAATGTGTGATCTCATAATATTTCTCTAGGTCCTAGGAAAATATAGTGCCTTAATTGACATTTTTAGTAGTATTATATTTTTTAAAATATATATTTACAATCCGAGGTGTCCCCAGAAGAGGTGATGTAGAAGGTAATGTTTGTAATATGAAAAAAAAAATCATAAGAATCCTCTGGTCTTAATAAAATGTATCAAATAATTTTACATGTACATCCCTTGCTTTTTTTTCCCCCAGTGGTTAGCATGGATGTGATTTCCAGTTAAGGACAGGTACCTAGGTGCCAGGTTTTGATCACCAGCTCTGGTAGAGGCACATTGATTAGTTGCAAAAACTAATCAATGGTTCTCTCTCACATTGATGTTTCTCTCTGTCTTTCTCTCTCTCTCCCTTGCATTTTTTCTAAAAAGTCAATGAAAAATATCCTCAGGTAAAGATTAAAAAAAGAATACAATATACAAGATGAGTAGGCAGAGCAATGACAAATATAATTCCCAACATTGGTAGATGGAAATTACTATTTATTTTCACTACTAACTGTTAGACCATTTGATATTTTATTTTAAATGGGTCATTATCATTATTTTGCCAATGAGAAAACCATCATAAGAGAACAATCAATACTTTATTACATCTTACAGCAAATGAGACACAGAGAAAGACTTAGACACTGATTTTATCCCATGTGCTTTTTATTTTTTTATTTTATTTTTTTTTTTAAGATACCCATATTTTTTTTTTTAATTTATTTATTTATTATTTTTTTTTTACATATTTTAATGATTTTTTTTTGCCCCCCTCCCTCCCTCCCCCATAGCCCCTCCCTCCCCATAGTTTTATGTCCATTGGTTGTACTTATATGCATGTATACAAGTCCTTCGGTTGATCTATTATCTCCCCCAGATCCTCCTCCCCTCCCCGCTGTAATTTGACAATCTGCTTGTTGCTTTACTGTCTCTATATCTATCTTTTGGTTCATCAGTTTATAATGCTCTTTATTATCCACAAATGAGTGAGGTCATGTGGTGTTTCTCTTTCATTGATTGGCTTATTTCACTCAGCATGATGTTCTCCAATTCCATCCAGGTTGCTGCAAATGATGAGAATTCCTTCTTCTTTATGGCAGCATAGTATTCCATTGTGTAGATGTACCATAGTTTTTGGATCCAATCATCTGCTGATGGGCACCTAGGCTGTTTCCAAATTCTGGCTATTGTAGATTGTGCTGCTATGAACATAGGGGTGCATATATCCTTTCTGATTGGTGTGCTTTTTAAAGTCTTACCTTATTTTGGTTGGTTGGACCACTTGGTGTAACTGGAAAGAAAAATAATTATTATATAATATGAAGAAACTTACTTCAACTAAGGGTAAAGCAAACAATGATAAAATGTAATCAGATATATATAATTTTTGGAAACTATGGGAATGTTAGTTTTACCTTTGTACATAAGATTATTTAGTCTGTCACAATGCTTTTTGAAAATCTAAAGAAACTTTGAATTCAACTTCCCACCCTCCAAAACAGAGTTTTGACCAAGTCTATATTAAAATTTGAATTAAACCCAGATAATAAAATGCAGAAACTGGAGAGGCCTTAAATTATTACCAAGTTACAGGGACTTTTAGCAGACCTATTGGTTCTGGATATGTTTTATGTTTTTTGTTGAAAGCTTGAACTATATTTAACAAGAACTTTCAATTAAATTATTGATATCAGTTTTCTTGGTTTTCTTATATGGAAAATAGAGAATTGTAGCTGTTCACTAGAGGTTTTTTTTCTTTGTGAAAATTAAATAAAATAATTCATTTAAAGCACTATACAGGATAGCAAAATTATAAGTAATCTCTTAGTTATTATAAGGCATTGTTTTAATCATTACTTTGTATCCCTTTTTAAATATAACTTTTTATAATATACATTTTTATTGAAACTAAATATTTTATAAGTATAATTAAAATACCTTATAACCATGTTCGGTAGGCAGAATTTCCAAAATGGACCCTCAAAGTTATATAAACATTTAATCAAAACTTTATATATAATAGCCTAAGCGACCTTAAGACCATTCAATCATTAGACCATTCAACTGGTAGCTATGATATGCACTGACCACCAGAGTGCAGACACTGAATGCACAGGCATGGGAATATGGAACAGATTGATGGATCTCAGAATGGGGAATGGAGGAGGGTGTGAAGAGATTAACCAAATATCTTATATGCCTACTAGTGGCCCAGTGCATGGATTCATGTACTAGTGGGGTCTCTCGGCCTAACCTGTGGGGACCAGGCCAAAACTGGGTCTCCAACATCCCCCAGGGGTCCCAGATTGTGAGAGCACACAGACCAGGCCAAGGGATCCCATTGTTGCATGCATCTGTGCACTGGTCCTCCAGTGTACATAAAAGGACTTACAACTCCTGCAATCATGTGACGCTCTATGGCTTAGTTGACTTTAAGATAAAGCAATGATCCTAGATTATCTAGCTATGCCAAATGTAACCACAAGAATGCCCAAAGCAGAGAGTGTCCTCTGACTGATAGCAGTCAGAAAGATTGCCCTGGCTGGTTTGGCTCAGAGGATAGAGCTTCAGCCTGCAGACTGAAGGCTCCCAGGTTTGATTTCAATCAAGGGCACATGCTGGGGTCGCAGGCTTGTTCCCCAGAAGGAGGTGTGCCAAAGGCAACTAATCAATGATTCTCTCTCATCATTGATGTTTCTGTCTCACTCTGCCTCTTACTTCCTCTCTGAAATAAAAAAAAAAAAATACATTTTTTAAAAAGTCAGAAGGATCTTAAGTGTAAAGAGAACTCAGTGTCCCCTACCTGCCTTGAAGGTGGAAAAGCCAGATAAGAAGGAAAGTGAGTAGAGATTACCAGTAAGGAGGAAGTCCTAGCTGACAGCTAGCCAGGAAACAGGAATATCAATCCTGCAGCTACAAGGAAATGAATTCTATCAACAATCTAAATTAGGGGTGTCGAACTCAATCAGAGAAGGGGCCAAAATCTAAAATCCAGCCTAAATCGCGGGCCGAATGGTTTACTGAACAGTCATAAACTGTCATTGTGATGGAAATGCAGCGGAGTGCAGTGATGACAGCGCGGTGCGGGCCACATTGCAAGGCCTGGCGGGACGGATTTGGCCCGCGGGCCTTGTGTTTGACACATGTGATCTAAATGAACTTGGAAGTGAATTCCTCCCAGTGCCTCCAAATAAGAGTGTCATGCAGACAATACATTAATCTTCTACTATTTAGAAAAATTTGACCCAAGGAAACTTTAATATAATAAATATCATCTTAAATTGCTAAATTCATAGTATTATGTTACACAGCAAAATGAAATGAAGTATGCTATGATTATTGTGTTAGTACATAGCTCTTGAGACACCAAAAAGTAAAGATGAAATATATTTAATAAACATATTTATTTTATTAACCAGATGTGAATAATATTAATCAAAGTTCAATAGTATTGTATTTTGAAGAACATGTAGTTTAGGATAAAGAAAATGTGGCCACAAAGAATAAATAGTTTGCCTGGGCATTCCATCTGTGGGATCTATAACTGCAGGCTGCTAAAGCAATGTATGTCTATCAAATGTCATCAGTTATATTCTGTAACTCTTTATAGGTTTTCTGTGTATTCTTTACCTATAATTTATGAAGTAAGTTAATTGCATATTTTCATCATTCATATTCCTCTGTTAAAAATGCATAATCCTCATATAAGGTAAAATGTTTCATAGCTACAAACTGAAGCCATGCCTTATATCAGTTATTGATTGGTCATTTAGTGGCATAATTAAAATGCTCACTTTTTAAAAAATAGTTTTGTTTTATTTATTTCAGAGAAAATGGGAGAGAGAGCTATAGAAACATCAATGATGAGAAGAGATAATCATTGATCAGCTGCCTTCTGCATGCCCTGTACTGAGGATTGAGCCCACAAGTAGGGCATGTGCCCTGGACTGGGATTGAGCCTGGTACTCTTCAATTCACAGGCTGATCCTCTATCCACTGAGCCAAATTGGCTAAGGGAAAAATGCTCACTTTCTTAACTCCAAAGCTCCATACACTATACTGCAGTCCACTGTATTGTAGTGTCTCTCCTGTCCACATTCTATATTGCAGAGTTTTTGCACATAGCTTAATAAAGCATCATGATTGATTAAGAACACCCTATCAATTTTCTTAGAGATGCTACTGGTTACTGTCAAAGTAAAAAAAAAAATTGAGCTGCACAAAGATAAACAGGAAAGAAATACTTTATTTAAGTCTATAGCAATTTAGGAGAAAGATTGAACTCAATTCCTCTAAAACAAAGGATTGGAGAATTTAAAGAGCTAGGGTGGGGGGGTTGTATGCCAGCTGTACAGATATTTTATTCAGAGACCAAATCAAGACAAACAACAAACTTTTTATAGTTTTATGATAGGAGATAATTTTATAATTTGGAGCATGATGCCCTCAGAAGTTAGATTCTTAGAGTCCCACAGAGATTGGAAGATATAGGCTCTTCAGTTTGTCAAACTAAACATTGATCACTGCTATCACTTTGACCTGCTCTATTTTTTCAAAATACTTAACATCTCATAGAATATGTGTAAATTACACAAATAATTCAGTTTTCATGATCAAATCAGACAGAGAAAATACATTTTTATAATAGACAAATAATGGCAAACCATGTTTACATATTTTTTAAACTTCTAATTTGGAATTAGTAACTTCTCTATAAAGGATTTCTTTACACAAAAAGTATGATAAAATAGTAAAAAAAATACACAAAAGTTTGATTATTCTAGTATGATTTTTTTTTCTGGGATAGTTATGTCTTGCTTTTTGTCTATTCAATATTTAAAAATAATATCTGGAAATTTCTCTACTGATCCCATGGTAAGACTACACAATGACACTAGATTCATTGACCCTCACTCCTACCATTATATATCAAATGTTATGAATGTTAGCTTCAGATACTTCAGGGACCACTATTTTTTATTTACTTTTACTAGAATCTACTTAAACATAATTACCTGAAAAGCTAGAAAGCCATAAAGAACTGGATGAGAGGAGAGAATATAATCAAATACAAACAACATAGAGAGTTTTACTTTAGGGATGATAACCTCTAGAGAGACTGAATTAAAATTTAAAGAATTGCCTTGCCTTAATCCAAATTATGTAATCATTTATTACTTTGCAATAATATTCCATAACTAATACTCTGAGTTACCAGACAAAAGGGCAAATGATCTTGATTTTGAGTCTCAGTGTATTCTCTTTTGAGCTAAAATTAAGTCATTTATACCTGTTTAGACCCTTAAATTCTTTGTTTGTAATAATAATTACACCATGTTTATCTTAATGATCCAATGAGGTAATGTTTTCAATTGCATAGGATAGTACAAGCATATATTAAGTGTTAATTGCTGTTATTTGAAAACCTTAAGATCGTGGCTTTACTAGACTATCATAGAGTAATCATAGACTTTAATCCAAAGCGGACAGCCTCTTTACAAATACCCCAGCTAGTATCCTGCTCCTGTCATCTGCTCCCAGCCTCTCCCAGGTCACCTCTAGGACAATAATGGCCTGTATTTCACAAGACTACTTTCGTTTCCAAAAATTCTTAAAATTTGCCTGCTTACTAGTTCCATTTCTTGCTCTAACTCAATAAACTAGAACATATGTTAGTGTAAAATAAATTTACATTGTTTGACAAATGCATATTTATAAACATAAACCCTGAATCTCATAATTTTGAATAAATATGTAAATTTTTAAAATTAAAAAAAAACAACATATCAAACTTTTGGTTATCATCCCAGTATTTCAGCATAGTATTTCACCCTGGATTTACCAAAGTAATTGGCCCGTCCTATAATGATGATTGGATATTGATGAGTCAGGTCCCCAAGCTCCATGGATTTTATTCTAGAGATATGACAAAAAGTTATGAAAGTTGGCATATTATAAAGGAAATGTTATTGTTCCATCCAGTTTAGGAGAAATGCTTTCTGAATCCCAGCTGCCCCAATCCTGTCACTATTCAGTCGCCATCTACCTACCACTTTTCACTTGGACAGTGGAAACAGCAGAGTCACCTAAAGCTTGGGCTTCCAGGATTTGCTGAAAGACAGCAAGAGAAAAAGCTAATACTTTTGTGTAGAGAATACTACAAGATTCTTTCTTCTATAATCATTAAACATTTTTCATGGACTTCAAATAATGAAGAAACTCTTAATGACCTGTCTGTGTTTTTCATTTCATTCCATCTTGGTAGCTCACTGCTTTATTTTTTCTTAAATAAACTTAACATTTTTCTAAAAACATACAACTAGGTCTACTCAAGATAACCTTATTAGGTTGACCTTTATGTACAGTACCATCATTGCCGAAGTCTTTAGTCACGATTCTTGAAGAATTTTCCCCACATAACTGCACTATATGGCCCTGCTTTCCTCCTCCCGTCATCTTAGAGCACAGTCATCCTTGGCCTTCTGTGGTTAAGGCTTCCTTTATTTTCTTCTATGTGTCTGCTACCCTGATATGTTTATGTACCCAAAAGATTTCCTTAACAACATGTAGTGCTTTTGTTAATTCTTATCTTTTATGTTAATCTTTGAACGTTTGGACTTCATCTGAAATTTGTATCCATTTTATCTTAAGCGCCTACCACTGTGTGAGGTATATAAACGACTCTATCTGTCTCTATGTTGCCTTTATTTTTCCATGGGAAGATTAATCATTGTTATAGAATCTATAAGTTGTAGTTGTACTTAAAACTCCTATTTATTGAGGATTAACTATGCCAAGCCTGTGATCCTAAATGCTTAATTTAGTGTTCTTCATATGCTAGTATTTTAGAAATTAAGCTCTGTAGTATAAATTTTCATCCTGTTTTCACCACTTACAAGCTATTTATCTTTGAGAAAATTACTGTATGACCAAATACATCAGCTTTCTCATCTGTAAAACAAAGATAATATTAACTACATCAAATAATTGTTATAAAGCTTAAATAAATAATATACATAAATTATAATGTACACTAACTAGATGCCTGGTGCATGAATTTTGTGCAGAGGGAGTGTGTCCCTCATCACAGCCTGCACCCTCTCCAATCTGGGACCCCTCAAGGGATGTCTGACTGCCCGTTTAGACCCGATCCCGGTAGGGCAGTCGGACATCTCTCTCACAATCCAGGATTGCTGGCTCCCAACTGCTCGCCTGCCTGCCTTCCTAATCCCCCCTAACAGCTTCTGCCTGCCATTCTGATCACCCCCTAATCACTCCCCTGCCAGCCTGGTTGATGCATAACTGGTCCCCTGCTAGCCTGATTGTCCTTAATTTCCCTCCCCTTAAGGCCTGGTCATACCCAACGGTCTTCCCATACTGGCCATCTTGTGTCCACATGTGGGCAGCCATCTTGTATGTTGGAGTGATGGTCAATTTGCATATTACTCTTTTATTAGATGGAGGATACACAGTAAGCACCTGAATTTTAGATGTTTAAGTTATTTACTAATAAACCTAACATGTGATAAATCATAAATATATGATTAATTTCAGACTAAATATTTAGTCAATTTAGTGAAATAAAAATAAAATATAATAAAAATGTATTGAAGTAAATATATATACAAAGGACTATGGAGAACAAATAAAGAAAAATGTAAGGACCTAGTCTTTCTTGAAAAGGTCTCTTTTTGTGGCATTTTATATTCTGCTTTATACAGTACCTTTTAAAATTAAAATCTGAATATCTACAGAAAAAATATGCAAATGATAAGAATATATCTTAGGGAATTTTAAAGAAAGGAAATATTATATGTAACTATCACCCACATCTAGAAATAGAACAGTATTAGGTCTCTAACTTGTCTTCAGAAGTAACTATGAAGATGACTTTTATTACTTTAGATTAGATTTTACTCTTTCTGAACTCAATATAATGTAATTGGCCAGTATTAACTCTTTTTATTTTCTCCCTAGGGTTTATTACATTTAAAATTGCATTTGTGACATAAATTAATATTAATCTATGTGACAGTTGTTTGTTCATTCTTACTGCTGAATAGCATTGAATTTTGTACTTAATCTACAATGTATTTTCCATTCTGCTCTTGATGAAAACTTGCATTGTTTCCAGTTTGGCTTATTAAATGGATAGTGCTACTAATGTAATTCTTGTGTTTGTTCATAGAAGGGCCATATCTGTGTGCATTTCTGTTTCACATACATACATTCAGATTTAATAGATCCTACTGAACTCTTTCAAAGTAGTTGTCACAGCGTATGAGAGTCTAGATGTTCTGATTATCACCAGTACTTGATATGTTTCATATCACTCTTGAACGTCTCTATTATAACCTTTTTTTAAATGAAATTATGCCTCATGAGATATTTTCTCTTTAGCTTGAAAGAATATTGACTTTCATCTTCTTTTAGTTGTTTATAGAACAGTTATTAATTTCTCAACACATAATCATAATTTTAAACAAGGCTTATCATGACCTGTATGTAAGGTTGCTGATTATTTTTGAGGTATCTACTTAAATCAACTCCTTCATACTTAAGCATATTAATCAATTACATTATGTTTTGCATTCAGACTGAAAAATATATAATCTGAAATAATTTCAAAAATGAGAGAAATATAATTTCTGAGCATCCAGAAGTGATTTAGCTGAACCAAAATTTAAAATGACAAGCACATCAGTGAATAATAAAAGCTAGCTGCCAGACCTCTTGATATGCAAGGCATTCACTGAGATATCAAAACGTGGAAAATATAATGCTCTTACCAATATTTCTTGTTGAATTAATGCCCAGGTGAGTTCTTCGGAAATGGTGCAGTTGTATCTTAGCAAAAACAAGAAGCAGTAAAGCATCATACTTATTAGGATCCAATTTGCCACAGCAGCAGCCAAGTGCTTCAATTTCTCCCAGTGGTGATAGGAAGGGAAAGGTAGGGATAGAGAAATTTAAATTAAATTTATAGTGCAGTGCACATTTGGAATTCAATATTGACAGCTCTAATTACACCTACCTTACCATCACAAGTTCATTAAATGAGAGTAAAAGATTAAAAACTACTCTGCATATTTATTAAAAATTAATATCCATTATTTTCCTACTGCAGGTCTCATTTCTCTTCCTCCAATTTAATGCATTTGTGATGGAGATGTTTGGGGTTTGAGGAGGAGAGGATTTATTATTTCTTAAACACATGCAGAAACATGCAAACACACAATTACAATGTCATGTTATATTTAGATATACTATTTAAAATATGATCAGCATGAAATGTCAAATTCAGCATATCTACCAATGTCTATTTAAATTTTCATGAGTTCTTCAGCATATATTTATATTGGTCTCATAAATCTTGAACATGTCTAAATCATAACTGATGATAAAATTATTAATTACACAGTATCACATTTTGTCATTTTGCTTTTATAATGAATAGAAAAAAATCCATCTCCACTTTTACCTATAACACTGCAGACTCAAAGTTAGCATATATCAATATCGTTTTGTAATACATCAGCCCTGTATATTGTGGGTTCTGCATCTACAAATGCAACCAATTACAGATTTAAAAAAATATGATTTTAGCCTTGGATAGGTGGTTTAATTTGTTGGAACATCATTTCATACACAAAAATAAAAGCATTTGGGTTTGATTCCCAGTTGGGACACATATGGGAGGCAACCGATCAGTGTTTCTCTTTGACGTGGATGTCTCTCTCTCTCTCTATGCCTCTCTGTCTCCCTCAACCTTCCTCTTTCTCCAAAAATACTAAGCATATCCTCAGGTGAAGATTTATATATATGGTACATTGTTGTTGACGCATATCATGTAGTTTGGGCCATGATGGTTTCTGCCAGGTCAAATATGTACAGACATTATTTCCTAAACACTATTTGGGTACCATTTGTATTATAGGTAAACTACAGATGATTTAAAGTATTTGAGAGGATGTGTGTTTGGTTATATGAAAATACTATGATATTTTACGTAAGACACTTGAGCAGCCATGACTCTTAGTATTTTCTAGGGGGCAGGTCCCAGAACCAATCCCCTGCAGATACCTTGGGACAACTGTATTTATATGTTTACCAGTAAATCACAATAAGGTTTCTGCCAATTATGAGGTGTCCTGGTGGGCTCATTTCAAAGGAGAAAGACAGATACTACTTACCATGATCATGAATGTGGTTTTGGAAAAATACATTAGGCAACTTTCAAAATAACAAAAAAAGCAAATGACTTGTTTTCTCAGCACTTATTGTATGCCATTTGGCAGGCATAAAACAATAAAGGGATGTGTACAATTCCACCATGCCTCCACAAAAAAAAGTTCAGCATTCTAAGTTAGGGAAAATGTTCAAACATTTAATTAACATAGAAAATGTCTTGTCAAATTCTTGGTTTTATTCTTAAGGAAGAAAGAAACTGTTTATGGCAAATATCCCTTTTCCTCATGTAATGGACTCAATTAAACACTTTGGTATATAAGGCACTCAGGGAAAGCAACTCTTTCAGATAAGTTTTATACATCACTGGTACAGAGTAATTTATAATGCCTTCAGTTTCCTCAAAGTGTAAATGTATTCCCCTCAATATTTATTGGAAAGCCAAGGGAATAATTTAGCATTTCAGAAAATTGGCTGTTTCTATATGAACATGAAAACTGTCCAAATTTTACTGTCTCAATCTTTTTCTCTAAATTGAAGCATAGTGAAATAGTAGGACATTGGTACATGAGTATGCTTGGACACACACATATTTACAGAAAACAGATGGAAATAAGAAGCTAGATTTTTCAAAGTTGTTTTGCTAGTACCAATGACATGAGGATATAGAAAATCTCCACAAACTTGTAAAATCTAAGAATCTTCTAGGAGAGTTTCTACAATGGCTTTGTATATAAGATGAGTCATTATTTCTAATGGCTAAAGATATGCAAACTTCCAAATAACATTTTTTATGATAATCATGGTTACATTTTGGTGGCTATACAATACAGTTTAACTATGAAATCAGACCATGAATATGGCAATGCAGAATGTGACTAGAATTCTTAGTAAAGGGTTAGAAGACCTGGGACTCAGTGCAGTCTGTTAAACCAACTGGACTTTTGGCCTTTAATCTTTTGTTTCTTGCAATTTACAGTAAGTTGAACATTTTATATGAGACTGTTTATAAAATGCTTTCTCGCTCTAGAATTCCTGGAATGTACTTAATAAGTATGAGGACTTACAGTGCACTCCAGAACTTTGTGCAATGCCATGTGGAGGGAATAGAGGAAGTAGAGTCTGCAATATCTTCCCTTAGGGAGCTAAAATTTCATTTTTATTATAATAAGTATTTATTATAAATCTGCCAGACACAGTACTAAGTAGCAGATTTAAAGCAGTGAATTACATAGATTCAGTCTATGTCTCCAAGGATTTCCAGTTTG